GAATAGATCTATTAAATTTCTACGTGCTAAAAATAGATCAGTTTGAATATTGTTTGTTCATAAATGTTTCTTTAATATGTGTCAATTTGACACCATGTTAAATTGGAAAAATAATGTAATTGTATAAGAGTTGATATTTGATTATGAAACGCGGAAATAATCTTTTAGATTATAGTGGCTAAATAATGCTTATTGCATATCAATTTCAAGATCGAAGTTTGCCAAATACAACATGATCAATTTTCTATTCAATTGTGATAAACATCAAAACGAATCATCAAGTTAGAAGTATTCTTTCTAAAAAGGGAATTTAAGTTGGATGAACGAATAGAATCTACTTGTAATATTAACAATAAATAATAATAAAAGGATAAAGATAAATAATGAAATAAATTGTTCAAGTAAAGATTTCAATTCGTGTTACAAAAATGAACGAGATGTTACATGTAAATGTAGGTGTTTCTCGTGCAATTAACAATTTCATCGCTGGAAAATTATATTCAAAAATTACAATGACTTTTTTCTACGTAAAGTTTAAAAATATAAGAACAAAACCGTCGTCCTTCGCTTAAATCATGTTTTAATTTGATAATAATATACAACACAGGTTTCGTGTAAATATTCAATTGTATTTATACAATTATGAATTTTGTATTGCTATGCATGATAATAAATTATATTGTTAATAAATATTATATATAATTAAATTTTTATATCATAATATTGTATTACAACAAAAATTATGTTAATTTAAAATCATTTAAATACATATGTTGTTATATGTTTATCAAGATATCTAATTATGTAATTATATATCTCAAAATATTATACATGATTATATTATGGTTAATTCTTATATTTATATAATTTTTTTTCTATAATTTATTTATAAAAATAAAATTAATTATAAATATTACAAAATGTATATTTTTTTCAATAGAAAATATCATTTCCAATAAAACCACCAGCATGGAATATCTGACTAATGTATATTCGATCATTTCAACTGCAATGATCTAATATTTTGAAATATCGATCAATTTATAATACTTACATGTTTGCAATACCGGCTTTTCTAACTGCTGAACTGACTGCTTTTACAGCAGTTTGTATACTATTTAGAAGCTGACTTAGATCACCTGTGGCGGTTGGTATTTTTCGTTGTTCGGCAAGTACGAATCTTGTCAATGTCATGCAGTTAGAATCGAAAGAATGACTCTTCGAAGCCATATTTTTCCAACAGCAAATTATGTATGTTTGTCTATCCTGTAACGAGCTAGCGGGCAGACTACGGCAAATGCGTTTCTTCATAGTGCTATATAAAGTCGTGCGACTTATCTCGTTAGGGGAAACAACCGGAGGAAATGTAGTAACATTAAATTTATGTAATGATTTCAAATTTGTGTTTCATAGAATTAAGTTGAAGTTAATTTCATTATGCGACTACAAAAATAGCGACTGAACTACTTTACATTGCTTTATGCAAAATGTTTCGCCAATCTTTACGCAGAAATTAACGATCAATTTTTGTTCTGAAGAATCAGACGATTTTTGTGTCGAGCGATTCAAAATATTTATTAGGTTTTGTCTATGCCATAACATTGCAAATAAAATGTGACGCACAATTGAGCCGTTTATATTGAAAGTGGCATAAGTCATTTTACAATCATGAAAAATTCGTTCAACGCCTATGCGAAATTATTCATGTCGAGAAAAATACAAGTATCCGAGATAATGAATATAAATAAAAACTTGTCGAAAATTAGCGTCAACTTTTCTGGTCCCCGTTGAAACACAAGCCCTTAATTATCTCGATTTAAAAACAAAGTGAGTTATGTCATTTTCAAAATGAATGGCTCGATTATTTATAACTTTATCGGCTTATATGATAATAATATTTTCAACGATCGACCGACCAAGGGTTATCGACATTGCGAATGTTCTAAAGTTAACACTCATAGTCGATGACGAATGTGCGATGACTATCATATATATTACATTACATATATTACATATATTATATATATTATATATTATATTATATAATATATAATATATTATATATTATATAATATATAATATATTATATAATATATTATATATTATATAAT